ATTTTTATTAGGCCTGTTATTATTAAGTTACTTTTAATAATAAATTAAAATTACAATTAATTTGCTCCGCAATATTAGCCTACCGCATAACTGGCAAGCTGCGAGGATAACAAAAGATTAGGCTATTTACTCTTCAATTAAAATGTTTATAAAAGGTCTTTTAAAACGGGTCTATATACAATGAATTATATGCCTATAATTAAAATATTAACTCAGCAGTCATCAATTAAAATTAAAGGAATAAAAAGCTTTAGCCTATTTCAAGCACCGACTTTCAAAAACAACCTGTTTAACATGAAATATGTTTCTTCTCTTTTTTTCCACTATGTACGGGCCACAAGAAAAATGTTAAGGAAATAAATAAAAATAGTTAGCTATATACCGTTATCAGCATATGTTGAAGTAGATTCGTCTCTCGTCGTCTCTGAGAGAATATGCAGCATCAGATGCCAAAAGCTCCGTCATTACTCTGTCATTCCATTTTCACTTTCACTTTCTGCATAGTGAATTGACTTTGAAAGACTTTCACCGGCATAACTCTTGCATAAAATTTGCACATTGCTTGTGATATCCAGTGGCTCGCCTTTATGGTTTAAAACAATGCGACGTAAGCATAATACATATTACATAATACAAGATAAAACTTACATATTGTGCCTTTAATCGCATCCAAAATAAGCGTTTTTGTTTACATAATAAATATACACAGTACACACACACTACACATATATTATGTATACATAAATACTCACATGCATGTATACATTTAAGCAAAATATGTTACTTTAATGTAAATATTTTCAAAATATATGATGTGTGTTAGTGATGAGCGGATGAGCTAAAACGTCACCCGAATCCGCAGCTTCAAATAAATTATCACCCGTACACCCGTCAACCGCCCGCGCCTATATTTTTCTCTGATTTAGATAACCGCACCGATCGTCACATTCAGGGTTCGTACGGTCATTAAAAACCTAGTCATGGAATTTAAAAATGGCAATTTCCAGGCCTGAAAAAGTTTTGGAAAAATAAATAAAAGCAGAAAGTTTTGGAAAAGTCATGGAGATCTATTTCACAATTCTCTGTATAATAGAATTATGTTTAATCAGGTCCTGAATTTGGATGCAGGATTGCGCATATATCGCATTACTCATTCCCGCAGCTTTCGACTTTAAAATGAGGGATATTACGGCAAAACATTTATTCAATATTGCGTGTAGGTTAGATGAGTAAATAAATCCACACAAACCATGAGATCAAATCAGTCATTTGAAAACAGCGCAAGTCCACTCTCTTTGACCTTCTCTTCACATCGGCGCATCTAGAGCTGCTGCATGCTGCGATACAAGACTTTAGCTTGTGTTTCGCTACAGTTGACAGAATAGTCACTTGTCTATAATCGGTCATTGTTGCATTGTCACAAAAATTTATTATTTTCACGTCTTTTTACACGCGGTCCAGAGGCGCTTTTCTGTGCACTCACGGTCACATCCAAAGCGCACGCTGCGGTCAAATTGAGTTTGTTGCGCTTAAGTGGCCAAATACACACAAAATTACGTCAATATTGTCGTCCTCACAAGTATCCTCACAAGCACTGTAGGTTTTGTCTTAAGTTAATGTAAACAGTTGCGAAAGAAAATGCATGTGTATCAGTATTGGATCCGTGAAATGGGTCTTGTGACAGCAGCAGCCTCATAAAGCTGTGTCGTCTGTCATTAATGTTAATCAAACAACAAAAGACAGTCCCTCACTTTTCTTTAAATGTTTTGTTGAATAACTTTAATATGTTAATTTACAGTTTATTCGATTTCTGTAGCCTATTTAAAACACATATTTTAGAAAATGTAGTTAATATTTGTATCATTAATGATTTATCTTATCCACCCGCCACCCACCCGCAAATAATCAGAATGTTTTTTTTTTATTATTACCCAACCCACCCTACCCACAGATTATCTGCAGCGGCCGCGGATATAACCGCCATCCGCGCATCACTAATGCGTGTATTTATATATACATAAATATACACAATACACACAATTATGTAAACAAACACTTTTATTTTGGATGCTATTTATCGCGATTAATCATTTGACAGCACTAATATATATATATATATATATATATATATATATATATATATATATTATATATGTTTTTTTTTGTGCGTTTTTTTTGTGCGTTTTTTTTTTTTTTTTACATTTCATTAGTCTATAGCAGGCAAGGTGACAATCTATTTGTGAGTTGCATTTGCTAGTCAACTATTTGGAGAATGAGTGCTTGACTGTTGGATTACTCATGCTCATCCCTAATTAGTATGCTTTTAGTATGTACATATGTACATTGGCAGCCTTGCTTCTGAATCACAATGCAGCTGCAAATGGAATTTATTTCTTCATCTGTCCTCTTAGACACATCTCAGCTGTGTCTCCTGCTTTCTATTCAGACTTGTAAATGGAAAGCAGTTCTTTGCTTAACCAAACTCTGGCTCTCACATTCAATTACCTCCATCCTCATAGAGGCTGCAGGGACAGCTTTAAAGGTTAATTGGGTGGCTTAGGAGCAAAATAAAGGCTCTTTTCATTCCATCTCATCTTCCTCCTGCTGGTGTTTTAAAATGGAGGGATTTCAGTGCATGCATGGCTTCATGATAATGGGGAGTGTAATGTGGATCTGTGACTGGTCTTATTTGCTTTTAGGTGGTGGTGCATTTGCTGTCATAGTAACATTATAATAAAGCACATTTTAGCTGTCTCTCGTTGCATTATCAGCCAGCATGATACATGCTCAGAGCGTCTCTTATTTTCACTCTTTTTGGTTTTGGTTTTTCTTTGGCACTTGTAATAGACAGCTTGCTCCGCTCTAATGCTGTCATATGCATGAACAGAGTGCCTTAATGGATTTAGATAAGGCAATGTATTGTTTTCTCTCCCTCTCTTTCTCCCTTTCATGACACTGTTCAAATATTTCTTGATATTTATTATTTCTACCTACCAAGTGTTAACATTATTATCATTTTTATTGAGAGCATGTGCATGAAAAATTTACTGTTTTTGATATTATGCTTTTGTAAATGTCACTAATGTTGTGTTATGTTGCCTGTGTGAGTGGGATGTAATGAGTGGAGATCAGTGCTGTGGTGAAGGGCCTCTTCTCTTGATAGTAACACTGTATTTATAGACTAAGTACTAGAGATTTAAGGTTCCTTTCATTTTAAAAAATAGTGTTAAAATTGACCTTCATTTCAAGATGCACACCTCAATTGCTGAGCAGCAGATAAAGTAATATATACAGTACCATTTAAAAGTTTGGGGGTTAGTATAATTAAAATTATGCTTAAGCAAGGATGCATTATATTGATCAAAAGTGACAGTGTAGAGTAGACAGTTGGTTATTTCAAATAAATGGTGCTTTTGAACTTTGCTCATCAAAGAATCCTGAAATGTATCATTATTTTCACAAACACTTTAAGCAGCGCAGCTGTTTTTAACATTGATGATATTAAATCTTTCTTGAGCAACAAATCAGGGTATTAGAATGATTTCTGAAGGACCATGTGACACTAACTGGAATGTCTGGAATATATATATGTATATATTTTTTTGTTGTTGAGCAAATAAATGCACCCACTTTTTGTCACCCACAAAAGTGATCATAAGAGACTTCTTTCTAAAACATAAAAAAATCTTACTGACCCCAAACAATTTAATGTTAGTGTATATGAAATTATAATATATTTACTTTTAGAATGGAAAAAAATTGCTCAGGTTGTGTAATATTTATTCAAAATTCACAAATAAATGTATTTACTGAAGAAAAAAAAAGCCATTGGCTGGAAAGATCCCTTTTTTTAATCTGCCATTTATACATGGCAGTCAGCCAATGCAAATAATTTTAGCCGGTTAATCATGCTGGGTTGGTCTACGTACTGTATTGGTTTGTCGCTAAAATTAAGTGTTAATATTTTCAGTTGAACAATGACTGGCATTTTTGAGAACAAAGGCAATCTAGGGTCAGTTCAACAATTTTGACCCCTCAGCAAAATATCTCTCTGCTTCCTGACAATTTGACATTTTGACGCTTGACTTCTCATGTTGATCTACTGAAAACAATGACCTGCTGACAAAACAGTTCAGCGTCCTTCACAAAAAAATAAATCTCAGCAATATAGAAGTGTGCATCTTTTAGAGATTACTTTGAAAGGATCTATATTCTGATGGCTGTAATGGTTGTGGAGGTAAAAGAGGGATCTATTTTAGCAGCTGTTAGTGGGCTTTCACTGTTCTTCAGCTTCTGAACAACTCTTACCAGTAGTAGCTGATCATGGACTATTGGAATCATCTTTATATTAACTGCTAACCCAGTCAGAAATCATCAGTGGTTTGGGGATGATTCTCTCTCAAATACTAAACCATTCGTCATGGTAGTAAATTAACCCTTCCTGGCATATTTTGCATGACAGTCTTCGACTAATGAATTACATGATCAGACCCTATGCAAGTAAAGCCTTCATTCCCAACAGTCTGCATGCTCACACTGTAGGTCAAACAAGAGGTCGGAATGTCCCCTAAACACTTGAGAAAAGAGCTCATGAAACGCTTAAAGGAAGACCTAGCAGTCATTCAACATGAAGAGGTAATTTAGTTACCAGCTACTACTTACACACTTTCACTTCTGTTTTCTGCCCCTCTGGTCTTAAATTGTAAGACTGACTTAAATCAAGGTTATTCCATAGATTTCCTATTGAAAAATAAACTCTCATGGGCATTAATGGAGACTTTGTCCTGTACTTTCTGATGGCTGTTCTGATGGCTCATCGACTTCCTATCAGAGGCCCAAACTCCGAGCATATGCAGAGATAAGTTCATATAATGCAGCATCTGCTGCAAATGGTGAAACTGAAAACACCAGATCATGAGTTGCTGGTGTGTAACAGAACACAGTGCTTTTCTCTGAAACATGCAACCTGTTAAAAATGTGGGTAGCTAAAGTAGCCAAACCGGCTTAAGAAGAGGGAGTGTATTCGCATACTTTGGCCACTTAGGATGTTGCATTGATCTCGAGGAAAAAACAGACTAACGATGACTGCTGCATCTCATCACGCATGTCAAGGACGACAGCTGCACTAACTGATCGTGGTCCTTCAGACTCACCAGCTGCTAAACCCGCTCTCCATCCATCATCTGGAAGAACTAATTTCACTGCACGTGACCCAGGAAACTAACAGATTACTGCAATGCAATGAGAAGACTATATGATATTGTGAGGTGTGTCTGGTTTGCGTGCGATACGCTTGAGTGCTGGTGTGTGTCCCTGTTCCTGACGTGGTGGAGTTGGCTGTGTTTTGCTCCACAGGGTGTGGCCCAGGTTATGATACAGTCTTTTCAGTTGTCCTCATGTGCTCTGTTCAACGCTCAGATGCAGGATGTAAGTCTCCACTCTCCTTGTGACTCAACCCTCTCACATGTGTCCGTCCGTCATGCAAGATACAGAGCAGATGCACACACAAATGCACATTTACAGTGTAACGGCTGTAATAGTTTAGCTATCTTGTAGTTTAGTAAATATCAAAATAGTATTAGCTTACAAACTTTAAAACAGGACAAAATAGGCCATAAAATGGTATACAACCCAGTACGAAAATGCAAGTTGTCAGCACATCTCTTTGGAAGTTCATGTGAGCCTCTCTGGAATCAGTACACTTTTGTCACACCTGAATTACAGTATATATTTGCTGAGTGACACTAGCAAAACTGATCTGATTACGTTCAACACGATTCCACTGAAGCACGTCCCTTTGTAACAGCGCAGTAGCGTTTGCATGTGATGTGGATGGCACATGCGGGCAGGAAGGTGCTCTGTTGTTTTGGAGTGCTGTCGCCTGTGTTGCTGCAGTGTCTCAATATCTCTTCTATCCGCTCACTCTCTCATACTGTTACTGAAACTCTAGTCAAGTTTCTGTGTGTCACCTGTGCTGCTTTTTCTATGTGCCACTGTAGGCCAAGTTCAAAGCAGGAGTCGAAGATCAGGGTGACTTTTGAAATGCATTGTTGATTATTATTATTATTATTATTTAATATTATTGTATCAGCTTATAAATTATGTATATGTCAACAGTATTTCTCTGTTTGAGTCATATTTCAATGTTATTATACATGTCCTGTAGGCAGGCCCACATGGATCTGAGTCTGCTCAGGTTTGACAGAATTAGAATTAATGTAATTTATAAAATATACAAATTCGTTCACTACCATTCAAAGTTTGCCGTCAGTAAAAATGTTTGTTTTTTAAAGAAATTTATACTTTTTATTCAGTCAAGGATGTATTAAATTGATCAAGTGACAGTGAATACATTTCAAATACAGGTAAATACTGTTTTTTGGGGGGGTTTTTTTACTTTCTATTAATCAAAGAATTGATTTCCACAAAAAATTAGCAACACAACTCTCTTCAACATTGATAATAATAAGAAATGTTTCATGAGCAGCACCAAATCGGCATATTAGAATGATTTCTGAAGGATCATGTGTCAATGTTATTATACATGTCCTGTAGGCAGGCCCACATGGATCTGAGTCTGCTCAGGTTTGACAGAATTAGAATTAATGTAATTTATAAAATATACAAATTCGTTCACTACCATTCAAAGTTTGCCGTCAGTAAAAATGTTTGTTTTTTAAAGAAATTTATACTTTTTATTCAGTCAAGGATGTATTAAATTGATCAAGTGACAGTGAATACATTTCAAATACAGGTAAATACTGTTTTTTGGGGGGGTTTTTTTACTTTCTATTAATCAAAGAATTGATTTCCACAAAAAATTAGCAACACAACTCTCTTCAACATTGATAATAATAAGAAATGTTTCATGAGCAGCACCAAATCGGCATATTAGAATGATTTCTGAAGGATCATGTGACACTGAAGACTGGAGTAATTATGCTGAAAATTCAGCTTTGCCATTAGAGGAATAAGTTACATTTTAAAAGATATTAAAATAGAAGAGTTATTTTAAATTGTAATATTTCACAATAGTACTGTTTTCACAGTATTTTTGATCAAATAAATGTAGCCTTGGTGAGTGCAAGAGACTTGTTTCACCTTTTTTTTATTAATTTTTTTATATTACCGACCCAAAATTTTTCAAACATAATATACAAACTTTTTGCGTTCATTAAATTGTTTGTTCACTTCATTAAGCTTTCAGCAAGCTGTAATACACATTTTATCATGTTTTAATCCATCCTGATAATTCCCCCTCCCAAATCAGCACAGAAAATATGATAACACTTCAGTCTGGGCCTACTTTTAGGTTATGTTATGCTGTACTGTGACCTTTATATGTATTGTTCTCTAGTTCCTTCCTTTCACAAATCTTTATCCATTTATCATGAGTTATAAATGTTTTATCTTTGTTAAATGGTTTAAGTGTGTGACTTTCCTCTTAATGCAGTGTTATCAGTGCTGTGGTAGTGCTCATGTAATCTTTGACTGCTTCCCCTTGGAGCATGATCATGTACAGTTACTCATTTATAATCCCTGTTGTTTCTGTTCTGATTCCTCCTCCTCCTTCCTTTCTTCCTCTCTCTTGTTCTTTCTCCACCCACCCATATCTCTTAGGAGCAAGAGTTTCTCCAGAGGCAGCAGCAGGAGCTGGATGGAGCTCTGAAGAAGATCATTCAGCAGCACAAACTAGAGATCGCCACTATTGAGAGAGACTGTCTCAACCACAAGCAGCAGCTCATGAGAGGTCAGGCACTCTATAAACGGTGGCCACTGTAAATATTCTTACATTAATAATAATGGAAAGCATTTGTGTAAACGTTTTTGTTTGCCTGCAGTAAGTCCTCAAATAGTTGCACTTCAAACTTCACTGTTTGATGCTATGAGGAAGTCCTGTAGACCTTTTGTGTTAATTTGTGGTTATGTTCATTATAAATAAATTAGCTGCGCATATGTGGTGATAGGTTTTTCTAGGTCACACTTTCAACTCCAACCACAAAGGAAACAATCCAAACATGTTACCTGCTTCTACAGACAGTAAAGCTCTCTCTACCTGGAATAGAGCTAAACTGCGTGTTATTTTCAGACGGGTCCAATTATAAAGTTCTCCAGTTCTTATAAAGGCCAGCCGTATGTCTCTTGAGGTGCGGCCCAGATCTCATTTGATGAGACGTGCGTGTGAAAATGATTCCAGACGTGTTGAAATTTGCCGTTTATGATGTGTAATGAGCTATATGACTTCATGTCTGCAAAACATGTCTAAACCTGCATGGAGTTGAACGGTCTGGTTCTAATGGCTGAGAATCATTCTATTTCCTCTTTTTTTTCTTTGGCTCACAAACCCACAGCTCGGGAGGCAGCCATGTGGGAGCTGGAGGAGCGCCACCTGCAGGAGAAACACCAGTTGCTAAAGCAGCAGCTGAAGGATCAATACTTCATGCAGAGACATCAGCTCCTCAAAAGGCATGACAAGGTGAGACGTGACTGTCAATCTATTCAATGAATGAAAGACTAGTATGTTTTGTAGCCACTCTTTGACTGTTTATTCCCACACGACGGGTCATCAGGAGATGGAGCAGATGCAGGGTTATAACCAGCGGCTGATAGAGGAGATGAAGAACAGGCAGGCACAGGAAAGAGCTCGGCTGCCCAAGATCCAGCGCAGTGAAGCCAAGACCCGTATGGCGATGTTTAAAAAGAGCCTGCGGATCACTGGAACAGGAACACCAGAGCAGGACAGAGAGAAGATCAAACAGGTCAGACCCTCTGTCAGGAAGCTTTGGTAAAGATCAGAGGAATCAGGCTTGTGTTCAAACCTGAGGGTGTTTTCTGCTTTATTTCGAGCAGTTTGCCGCTCAGGAGGACAAGAGACAGAAGAATGAGAGACTTCATCAGCATCAGAAACATGAGAACCAGATGAGAGACCTGCAGCTGCAGTGTGACTCCAACATCAGAGAACTTCAACAGATGCAGGTCTGTAACACATACTGTATATACAATCTTACTCTCAACCTCTTTCCTTGGTGCCTGCATTTTCGATTGCATTTACTTTTAAATTAAATTGTGCTGGCCTCTATCTTTGGTTGTAACATCTGATTTGTTGTCTTTTTGCCATCAGAATGAGAAATGCCACCTCCTGATTGAGCATGAGACTCAGAAGCTGAAGGAGCTGGATGAGGAGCACAGTCAGGAGCTGAAAGACTGGAGGGAGAAGCTTCGTCCCAGGAAGAAGGTATTCGGTTTTCATTCACATTTCATTTCATTCATTCATCATTTCAAGTACATATAAAATATAAATCAAACCTTATATATAAATATTCCATTTTAGTATTTTAAAATGTATTTTATTCCTGTCATGGCAAAGCCGAATTGTTAAAAAAAAAAAAACTGTTGTTACTCAAGTTTTCAGTTGTGCTGCTTAAAAATTGTCATTAATTACTCTCCCTCATGTCGTTCCAAACCTGTAAGACCTTTTTCATCTTCAGAAGACAAATTAAGATATTTTTGATGATATCCAAGAGCTTTCTGTCCCGGCATAGACAGCAACATAACTATCATGTTCAAGGCCCAGATAGGTAGTAAGAACATCTTTAAAAATCATCCATGTGACACCAGTGATTCAACCTTCATTTTATGAAGCTACGAGCTTTATTTTTTTGTGCAAAGACAAAAATAATTTTTTTATTAAACAATTTCTTCTCTTCCGTGTCGGTCTCTGCCACACGTTCATGAGAGTTCCACGATGGTGTCTCATGAACTATTTAACTGACTATTTAATGTTCTTACTACCTTTCTGGGCCTTGAACATGGTAGTTCTGCTGTCCCATAGACCCTGCTGTCTATGCAGGGTTAGAAAGCTCTCGGATTTCCTCCAAAATATCTTAATTTGTGTTCCAAAGATGAATGAAGGTCTTATGGGTTTGGAATGACATGAGGGTGAGTAATTAATGAGAGAATTTAAATTTTTGGGTGAACTATCCCTTTAATATTTTGTGGAAACTGATACGTTTTGTTTTTTTGTCATTGTTGTTTTTTTTCAGAATACATGTTCAAAAGAACAGCATTAACAACATTAAAATATCATTAAAGATTTTAAGAAAATATTAGAATTAGATCACAGTACTCTGGAATGATCTAATGAATGATCTCAGCCATTTCATATTTTGTGTAGGACTGTTCTTTGTAAATACACATACTTTATAATTCTCTCCTGCTCTCTCTTAGGCTCTGGAGGAAGAGTTCACACGTAAACTGCAGGAACAGGAAGTCTTCTTTAAGATGAGTGGAGAGTCCGAATGCCTCAATCCCACCACCCAGAGCAGAGTCTCTAAATTCTACCCCATTCCCAGTGTGCACTCCTCCGGCTCTTAATCTTCACTGAGCTTTATATAAAGTGAAGAAGAGCTATTCCAGTCAAGAGCCCATTAGCCTTTTAAAGGTATGAGATCAGAATAGATGCATGGGGTTGATATGAAATTCCAAAATACCTGAAAGTTGGAATCTAACAGTGATGAAGGACAAACCTCATCCATTACCTAGACATGCTTTTTTGCCACATTGAATCCAATGGATTAACACTTTAGTTTTCTGTATGTTGTCTTCTGGTCACGTTAATTTGTGCTTGAGACATTAGCACAAATTAGCAATGAATACACTCAGGCAATATCATCTTGTCTTTGAGGAATACATGCATGAGAAAGCCTTAATGAGGGTCACATGATGCCCATAACAAACAAAATATCGCAAACAGAAAATACCACTTAAATGGTGAGAGGTCACATTTAACAGAACACGTGGACACACTAGTCACTGTTACACTCAATTCTCTAAATGTTCAAGTTGCACAGCTAGTAAATGAAGCTTCAGTGCTGTTTGGTCTTGTAGCAGCTGTTATATGTTGTATTTTTTGAATACTCCTGTGAATCTGGCCTATTCTGTTTTTAATGTCCACGTAAAGATACTTTTAAAACAAACTACTCATTTTAACTTTTTCTTTTACTATTTGACTTATGGTTAAATATATTTGCAGTCAAGGAATGTAACCCGCAAGATGACATTGCACACTTTAAAACAAAAACATATGCAGTAGTGATCTCTTTAGTGCATTATGAAGGAAATAGTGCCCAAATATTTGTATACAATGATGTCATTTCTCATTTGGCAAGTCACTTTGTGGTCCAGAGTACCCGAGTTAATTTTTTTATGAGCAAATAAATTTCACATATTAGAAGTCATAGCCTTCTTGAATGTTTCATATATGGTGTTAAAAAGTTATTTATGGATTTAACTGAAGCTGAATGTTTTTATTGTTAGTTATGTTTCATGTTTCATCAATATATAAGGGCAATATGAACTTGCACATGCTAGATGGTTTATCTGAAGTTTAGATTTTCTTTTTATTAAAGGACACACACTTTGATAGATGTAGAGTAGTGTTTAGTCCATTGCAGTCTGCAAAAGCGTTTCAGTGGGAAGACATGAACATTTCTCGCTGTTGCTGAGGACTTGTCATCTGATTCAAGCTCTATTTTTGATAACACGTTTTGTGCAAGAAAGTAAACACCTGTATCTTATCCATAATATGACATGCTGTGCTCATACTTTTTGCATGCTGAAAGAAATCCCAAATGCTGTAATTTACCAGAGACATAAATTTTTTGAATAGACGATGCATTTTACAAAGGCTGGTTCTAAAAGTTAGTATTTGCACAAACAGTGCGTTACACATCAGGATACTTGTTCAGAGACAGAAAGAAAGGGCCGATATCCCAGTGTCATACTGCTGAACAGTGACCTTAACCTCCTGCAGCACTTTGATGGAATATCTGATGCATTTTTGAGGTCAATTTATGTATCTAATCGCTTGTGTCCCTTGGTATACTGTAATAATGCTGTAAATAAATCTCAATTGTATTTTCTTTGATTTGTTTGGTGTTTTTTGTAACTCCATATCGAAACCGTTTGGGTAGGAGTAACATCATACTCCATTCTTTGTTACACATTCAGTGGCTTTTTACTTGTAGTAATAACTCACATTACAGCACATGGTCTAAAAAATCTCGTGTTTAAGACGCCTTTTTTAGTGTACCATCCATGTACTTTAAAAAAAAAAATGCAAACATCACCATAGACAAGATTCATACAATACAAAAAAAACAAGGCAATTACAAAGTCCACTACTGGGTAGAAAGTACATTTCAAGTGCTATATTAAATGTTAGATAAAGAAAACTAAGACTGATGTCTTAAACCCACGTTAGTAAAGCTGAAAATTGTTTGAAATGTATGGATTATAATATTGCATGCATTTGGTTGATTATAAAACTGTGATAATATAGGACCCAAACAAGCCTCTGAGCTGTGTTACTTCATAAAAAAGGCTAGTTTGTGAATTTATTTTCTTAAAGATATGTATTGTTTCTTTATGCCGTCAGTGCATCCACGAAAGTGTGCTGCTGCAAATGTGTGTGCCCTTACACACCACTGGTCCGAATCCATCTACCAGTCTGGAAGTCACCTAAAGTTATATATAGAGATACATGTCAGAATGACTGCTGGATCCAGCGCTGCCTTAAAATACATCATTTGATGATTTTTACATGTGACGACATAAAAACCTTGAATATCATTTAATGCTAGGATGCAGTACATGATGAGAAACCAAGTATACTATGACTGATAGTAGTTTTCTAACCTTTTTCACCCTTTTCTCCCCTTGGTCCCTCTGGTCCTCTTTGTCCCGGAAGGCCAGGTATCCCTGAGCTCCTCAATTCCCCTGTAGATCACATACAGTTTTATATTCACAGCTTTTCACTTTCATGTTCAAGCAGGCAGCACTTCAGTTCGATTTCTTGTCCAGTAGGGCTATATGAATCATGACTGGTACCTTTTTCTCCTTTAGGACCAGGGTATCCTCTGTCTCCTTTGGGTCCTGGCCTGCCAGGAGGCCCTGGGATGGTCCCATATGCTGAAAAGATAAATAATGTTTAGGAATAATGATACAAGACAAATACAGTGATTAAATATTTAATCAGTATGTGATAAGAGTATGTGAGTAAAAGCAGATACTAACTTCTAAAGAAGTCCATTAAGTCCGCCGTCACATTTCCATAGGCACCAATCACACGGCTGTACCCAGGTGGCCCAGGAGGACCAGGAGGCCCAGCGGGTCCTTGGATCCTACCTGCTTGTGTTCTCCAGTATCCCTCTGTCAGGTCCTGCAGTATACCTTGAGCTAAAGGAAACAAGCAAGATGGATTTGCTCACTATCCCTGTGATGGACTGACCATCTGTCCACAGTGTTTCCCTGACTATGGCCCAAAACACTCGGCTTGGCTCCGG